CTTTCGAGAGCAGTAATACCCGGGCTTTCCGCCCGAACTCCGCTCCAGCTGATGGCCAACAGCTGCTCCACTTCGCTACCGCCAATCTCCGCGCCGCGAATCTCCAAAGGGACACCTTGCAGCGCTGTCATTAAAGCCAATAAAGTGGTCGCCAAATGACATTGTCGGCGCGTCGCTTCAAAGGCAGCTGTTGCCCCCTCCCCCAAATTACCCACAAAAAATGAAAAAAAAACACCCAACTCCCCACTGTACCTCACCGTGACGACCCCACTGTACCACCGATTTTGCTCCACTTTTTGTTGGTTTCGTGCTTTTTTTGTTTTGTTGCTTTTATCAGCGACAGCAAAAAATGAAGCGAATTTATCTCTATTACAGTTAGCTGCTGCCATGCCACGCCCCTTTGTTGACGCGCCCATCATTTGTATTGTTGACATGTTGTGCTCGGGGGCGGGGGCGGAACGGTGGGCGTGGCTGGCAAGTGATAGAGCTGATACAGATTTGAGCAGACAGCTGCGGATGAGACTCAGGCTCTATTCGGCAGGACTCTAAAAGCAAACTCGAGTTGAGCCCGCTTTGGACGTTTTTCTGAAAAAATGATTGATGGTCCTCCCAAAACGATTTTCCACTTTAAAGCGGTTGAAAAAAATGCGATTCAAAATTGCGCAGCTAGCGGAATTAATGGAAAATACTTAGCATACTTGAGATAATCTATAGGAAAGTCTAGGTTGCGGTTCAGGAGTTTATTTGAGCGAGGTCCAAGTAAATGTTTGGTGTAATGAAATCAATTAATTGCTAAAAGCTTTTGAAAATAGAATACCAACGCATTTTATTGACATAATCTTAAAAGTGCGTTTATTTTTCAACTAATATGTAAGGTATATGAAAATTGTATAGTGTATAATTAATTTGCAAGAAACAATTAAAAAAGCCTTTTCAAAAGCAAAATAAAATAAATAAAAAATGCAAGCTACTAACAAATAAATTTACTCAGTAAGCTTTAAAGTGAAAGGCATACTGTTTTCCAATTCGGAAACATGGACAGCCCGCCTTAATCCACTTGCAGAATTAATCTCCCAACCCAGCACACTGGGAATGTTCCCACAGCGAAGACTCTCCCTGTCTTCTCCGCAATAAATCAACAAAAACAATTTTCCAAAATGTAAATATCATAAAAGATTGTTAACATTAACTGTCTAATTTGTTGTCATTCCGAATGGCCGCCACCATCATCAGTCCCACATTTTAGATGTTTCAGACGTTGTAGCTGTCGTCGTCTTCGCCTCTCGAGAGCTTCTTCAGTAGAAGCAGAAGTAGCTGCGACATGGAGAGAAGGCGGCAAAATGGCCTGCAGCGATGTTTCTGGCCCAAACGGGGGAAAACAACAACGTGAAAAGCTAATCAACCAGCAGAAGCGGACAGAAGTGGAAACGTGTTCGAGGAACCCGCACGCTAATAACTCCGCCTCTGACGGCGGGCAAATTAATGACAGACCAAATCATTTTAGCCAACTTAAATCACTGTAAATGCAGCCGACAGAAGATGAAGTAGCACTCAGATAGAGGCTCCTAAATTTTGGACAAACATTAATAAACTAGAGGCTTTTAGAGCTTCCCAAAAAAAAGGAGAGAAAAAAAAGAGAGGAAAACAAAGAAAAACGCTGCGCTGCAACTGCATGCATAATTTGCCGACCAACGGTTTCCACTAAAAGTTTTTCAGTGGAACGCGACGAAGGTTTTTCCTTCCCCTCTTTGGAAAAACCGTTGTCTTGTCTGCGGCAGAAGATCCGATTCCGAATCCGAGAGTCCAGGGCCATGCCATGACCATGACCATAGCTATGGCTATGGCTATAGTATGGCTGCAGATATAGCCATAGTGGCATGAATTCCAAATGGAGAAGACATGAAAAACCTTTTATCTAAAAGTGCTTTCTGCTTTCCCCGCGCTCTCTTTTTTTCCCACCATCTCCAGCTCTTCAGCGAGATGTCTGTATTAGTCAGGCAAATGCAACTGGAAATTAAGCAACAGACAACAGTCGACTGAACAAAGCAAAGAGGAGACACAACTAAAACACTGGGTCCAATAATTTGTGGCTGCAGTCGCGGCTGAAAGCCGAAAAAATACTCCACAAAGGGAAAACACCACAAAGAGGGAATAAACGAAAAAAAAACAGAGGCCGCTAATTTAGTTACTAACGCTTCCCAAAAACCGAAAAAACCAAATGAAAAAAAGACCCGAAAACCCTCATGTACCTGCGGTTAACTGGTCAGTGCAGTTTAGTGTTTGTTGTTTGATGGAAATTGTGTAGCCGCCGCTGCTGATGATGGCTAATTAGTTGGGCCACTCTGCCCCTCTGGCCACAAAATGAAATCTATAATATCATGATGTCTTAGTTCGCCGGTTAGAACAACAATAGACTTTTCGGGGGTGAGAACCCCCTAATTGCCTGCCTTTGTTGGGTGAAAATTGCTGCACATTAAATGGCAGCCCAGCCGATGGGGAGACACTGAAATTTTCTATATATAAAATATTTGGCTTTTCAACTCTTCTCTGCCCGACCGCAATTTAATTGGTCTAATAAAAGTTGGACACAAAAAGCGAGCATCCATAGATGTGTATATATATTTTAATGCTAATGTGCACACATTTGTCGGGCCATCCACATTAATCAGTATTGGGGCAGACCAAAAACAGCAAAAAATAAATATATATAGGTATATATTGTATCTCTGGTTTACGCTTTGTAGTCAGGAAATTACGGAATATATGTTTTGCGGTTTCACGGTTGGTTCTGGAATTGAAGTTGTGTTCTCGGGCTTCCAAACCAACTAAGGTTTTAATTATAAAAGCGGTTTCAATTAAGAGGAATACAGGAATCATTAGTAAAAGCAAATATGAGTGATACATTGAACTGAAAAGGGATTGCACAAAGTTATCAAGCTCATTTACTTTCCTTAGTCCTTTTTAAAAACAATATACCACTGACGCCCTTCCTAAAAATATCTCAAGTTATTTTCGGTTCTCCCCTCTAACCTGTTTCAGTTTCATTATCTTGCCACAACCTATTGATATCCTACACATGGGAATGCTTCTGCCAAACACACTCACTTCCAACCCCCAATTTCCCCGAATTTTCGAACCCTTTCGGCAACACATTCCTGGCATATTTTCCCACTTGCACTTCACTTTGGGCAACCACACAACAGAAACACCTCCCGCACTAAATGACATGCAAAGCATATTACGTTTCCTGGCCCAACCAGAGCATCTTCCACCTGTCTGAAATTAAATGCCGACTCCAACACCTTCGCCCACTTCCACAGCCCGCAACCTGCTCTCGCCTGCCGATATTTGTTTTAATTTTAAGCCAGCCGCAGAGTCAAAAAGTTGCACCCACGCCTCGGGGACGCAGAAAGGTCCGTGAGGGACCCAGAGCTGAAAACTGAAAACCTAAAACCAAAACCAAGAACCGAATGAACCTTAGCCAAATGATGCGTGAAATTCAATACAGTAGCTCGACTCCTCCCCATTTTTATTTTCAGGACCCGGGTTAGTGTTAGTGTAAACACAAGCCGCAGAAAGCAGTCCTGACTCCTGCCCTTGGAATCCGAAAGCAGTAAAAAGGATGAGCGTTTGTTGGGGGGAGGGAAAGGACGAAGGACGATGATGGGCTGACTAAGTGTTCCCTGAGTTTTATTTTTTTCGGTTCGGTTCGGTTAAGGTCCGGAGTTCTGGTGGTGTTTGTCTTTCGCTTTGCCGAATGTGTGAAAAGGCATCAAATGGCGTTAAAAATGCTTAAGTACACTAAGACAAGTTAGCACTCCAAGAAACATTTTCTTTATATGAAAAGATTACAGTTTAAAAAAGATTGTTTGTTTTAAATATACATTAATTAACTTTATAATTGTTGGTAAATTATAAGGAATTGATTAAGACAAGAATATGTACTTGATTTTTTTTAAATATTCATTACATTACATTACATTATAAGTAATATTTATTTTCGATCTTATATATTTTTTTTAATAGTCAATACAAAAAATATTTAATATTCTTCTGGTCCCTATTTCAATTTAAGGAATAATTAACCTTACAAGTTTTAAAGTTAGAAGAATTTGTAGAATTGTTTGCTTAAGAAATTCTAGAGCTTCGACTTAGACCTCAAGGACCTCAAAACTTTTCTTCAAGTGCACATGTCTGTCAGTCTGGGCAGCTTTAGGAAGGGGTTTACCGGGACTTGGGTTGGATTCTGTCTGTGGGCTTGGGATTGGGTTTGGGATTGGGATTGGCACTGGCACTGAACCTGCTGCGACCATAAATTCCATTGATTGTCGCGCCAGCGTTTTGTATGACAAGTTCGAAGTCTTGTATTGTCTGTCGCCTCGTTTTGTCTTGCGTTTGTATGACTTCTGTTACCAGCCAGCCACACCCGGCCCCCCCTTAGACCCCCTGAGACCCCCTTAAGCCCCTGAAACTCCACCTCTGCTGCCACTCACCTGCCAGCATTCGTTTGTTTACTGCCTGCTGCCACTGCCGCTTCTTTAGTTTCTTGAGTTTCCCTGGCCCGCATGTCACATAAACCGCATCTGGGCGTCCAGAGTCCCCTGTCCCATTTCCCCGTTCCCTTTTCCCCCATTTCCCCGGCCCATGGCACTTGGGAAGTGTGAAGCGGAAACCAAACAAAAGCCGCCTAAAACAACTGCAGGCAAGACCTGGCCAGATAAGACGGCAGTCTGCCGTCCTCAGCATAAGCGAATTTTAATATTGTATACAGAAGAGTGCCGGAGACTGATTCTCAATCTCTTCAATCTATTCAATCTCTGCGGCGCTTGCTTTTCTCACTTTTAGTTTTTTGTTTACCTTGGCCGGAAGACAAGGAGAAACTTTAAGAAAAATCTCCCGAAGAGCCAGAGCTTTGATGGCCTTTTTACACCTCCCCGTCTTGCGAGAAGCAAAACTATCTGGGATCTCATCCCGCTGGCCTCTTATTTGAGTTGTCGCTGCTTACTTAACAACTTGTCGCCTCGATTGCCCTTTACCCTCCCCGGAAAATGCTCCCTTTTCCCGCTGCTTGGGTAACAGAATTGCCAGCATGTCCTTTGGCCAAAGGCATAAAAAGCTGACACGGGACTCCTTTTTTCCCCTATTCTTTTGCTCCCTTTTTTTTGACGGTTTTGTGTGCTGGCCTCCTTTGCATAACTGGCTACAAATTTTCCTTAGTGCCCTCAGCGGCGCTAAAGTTGGCCAAGTTTCGTCTGAAGGGTTTTCCAAGTGATGGAAACGAAATTTTTGACACGCGACCAGAAATTTGAGTGGTAAACCTTTTCAGAGATTTTAGGGATAGTTTAGGATAAAAATGGAAGAAGTAAAGACGCCAACTAAAGTTTTTAGATTCGAAGCCACATGCTCTTAAATTGCATTTGGGAAACTATTGCATATAACTTCGACTTAAATGTGCATATTCCATTTCAATTTCGCCCATTCGCCGTTTGAAAAGCATTTCAAATAATTTTCAACTTTTCCCTTTGTCACCTAAAAACTTTATCCTTGAAGGCTGGAACTTCCACAGCCAACACATTCGGCCATCACTTATTGTTACTGTCGAAAATTCCCTTTTCACATTTCCATTGAACTTGGCCACACACACAAACTTAGCCAAACTGCTGAATCCTTTGGCCAGTGGAGAAAGCGGAGTGGGAGCAGGAAAGCCAATCTCTTTTTAAGCTGTTCAACAAAAAAACTTTCACTTTGTTGCCCAGGACGATCAACGCCAGAAGTTTGGTCCTCTCCGGAGACGGGATTGAAAGTTCTAAAAAGTTCCGGTATTAAGTCCATTTAACCCGCCATTGAACTTTACGCCTCAACGACCAGCTAATGCAACAAAAACTGCAGAGCCAAATCTACGTAAAACCAACAACTAGCCCTAAAAACTTATAACAAAAAAAAACTATGGCAACCGAAGGACCAGCAAGGACAACAAAGTAAATGAGCAGCCTGCCAAAGGGATGAGAGGGCGAAAATCGAGCAGGCAAATGTGCAAAAAATGGAAAATGAAACGAAAAACTTTTGTGGCAACAGAATTTTCCCTGTTCGCCGTGTCCTTTTTTATTTTTGCAACCTCTTGCAACCTGCGGTGAAAAAAAGGAGAAGAATTCAATAAAATAACGCTTTCCATCTGGGCAAAGTAGTAAGGGGATAAAACTAAAATAAAGTTTTCCCCGTGCGCCGTGGCGAGGACAATTTTCGTGAAATTTGTACAGCCACGCCCACCGGGCACCCGCCCCCTTTGGACCACAAGGTTCGTACCACAGCCATTTGGCATTAAAGTTTAACAATGGACGCTGGCGCGTGTGAAAGAAAGGAGCGAAAGAGCGAACGGAAGTAAAAGAGACCGCAGAAGTATTCCATGAAGGAAGAATAGAAACACAGTAGCTAAAGAATCGGCGGCTGGGGGCGGAGGAGGGCGTGGCATTGGCGGCCATTTGTACTTAAACTGATCTACTTTTGTTGTACTATAGCTCAAGTTTCTGCCCCAGCATCTGTAGCTGTATCTGTATCTGTATCTCTCTCCATATGTAAGCGTGCGTTTATCCTGCTTACAGTTACACAGATAAACATTTTCGTTAGGGACAAAAATGCACGAGGACGAAAATAGGAAGGGGCATTTTGGGTTAAGGATTCTCGAGGAACATCCTTGGGCCGTCCTGCATCCTCCCACATTTTGTGTGTGACTTGTTTGAATGCATACTTTGTCTGGCGCTGGCAAAATGTTAAATTCCCAGGCAGCATATGCTCCAGTGGATGAAGAAGGAAGTCAGGGGCATGGAAAAGAGGGTTTAAAAATGTGAAATTTTTTAAAGAATTGTGAATATTTTGACAGTGCACTGATTGGAAAATTATTAAAGGTAAAAATAATAACTATTTTATTGTATTGTATAGAGTTTTATAGTGATATTAAGTATGCAGATTCAGTATACGAATTTGATTAAATATGTTGCCAATATTTGTATACGTTATGGAATATGTATTTTATGTAATACTTTATTCGAAACTCCTACTGCTATAGCTTAAACAAACTCACTTATAATTATAATAATATTTATCTAAAAAAAATAATCCAAAACAAAATATTACATTATCATTGTGTGGCCAACAACTAATAAGACCCCTTGAGATAACATCTTGAAAATCCCCGAAAACGACGGCTCTGTTTGCACTACACACAACTTGCTATTATCGCAAGATAAATGCCATCCCAACATAACTAAGACTTACCCAGAGTCCTGGCTCTGCTGCAGCTTGCTCCAGCTGCTTGGATGAGTCCAACAAAGCTGCTAAGCCGCCAGCAAGGATAAGCAGTTGGAAAAGAGGCAAACGACGGGGGCTTCGAGGCGGATAGAAGCGAACCTGCATTACTGATGGCCTCACCAGATGCAGGCCTCCCACAGGATCTGGGCGTGGATACCCCTGAAACGGTGGCATTTGCGGCATTTGCACCGAGGTCCTGGGCATAACTGCGCTTCGGAATTTTAATAGAGCAAATTTTCACAAACAAGCCAGAAAAATGAGAGCGAATAGAAATGCCGGGGGAAGAAATTGCGCGGCATTTTATTCTGCGCTGGTAATAAAACTTCGAAATGAAGTTTAGAAAACTTTTTAAATGCCTTTCGCCAAGGCGATGGACAGGCGTTGAAGTAGGAGCCCAGTCTACCCTACTCCCCGGCCACTCGCTCACTTCAATAACCACGCACAAGACACACACCCACTAAAAACAAAAAAACAAAAAAAATAAATAAATAAAACAGGGCATAATAATGATGATGACGCCTACAACACAACGCCCACGAACACGCCCCCCGCTTTGGCAATGGCCTGGTAGGATCCGCGCAAAATGCTAAACGGGCCCCAAGGACCAACGCAGCCAGGACACACGGCTTGGCTCGGCCAGCTTTTTGCAAATTTACGATTATGATTATTACAAGTCGACGTTTTCTGCCCAGGATTCGTGTGTTCGTGTGGGCGAACGACAGCCAGGGCGTTGGGGTAGTGAGTCTGACATTTGGACAGCTGCTGGATAGACGCTTCCCCAGCAGAAGAACAAGTGCAAAAGAATGCGTCAAGGCATTTTAGCACTTTGCCCCCGGACGAAGTCTCAGCTGAAAGCCAGAGACACGGGCCCATGCCCATGCCCATGCCCATCCGAATGTACACGGGCCAAAGTTGTGCCAAAGTTATTACAACTCTTAAAGATGCCACGGGGCAGGATGTATCTCAGGGATGTGCTGCTTCGTCCTCGCTCCTCGAGTGGTGGGTGGTTGGGCGGAGACATTGACCTCCAGCGGGTTGTTGGACAGCGTCTGGAAATCGGCAAATTCCATGGGGCATAATAAACGTAAGATAAAAGTCAAAGAGGGACAAAAATTATGTAATAAACTGTACAACGAAATGAAATTATTTCAGCGAGGGTGGGCCAACCAGGGGATGTTAAAGGGGGGCTTTACTGTGTGGCTCTTGAAGCTGGTAAATAAAAGTTTGATGTGCAAGCATTTGGCGGAGTTTGCAAAGTTTTCTTGCTGGTTGAATTTTCAGGTACTCTAAATGGAGTTTCTGTATTTGTTTGTTTTTTCGGATTTAATAAAATCTGGGTTTCTGCCAATCGAATGTACTAACAAACAGTAGCTTAAGATATTAATTTTTATATTTATTATTAAAAACATTAAATTTGGTATTTTCGTTAATTTCTCAACAAATTCTATGTGTGCCAATTCATGTGAAATTAAGCTATAAAATATATATAGCTAGCAGAGTATTTGTGCATTCACCACAAACAAATGTATTCGTTCCTCGCTTGTTTTTAAAACTTTAAACATTTTGTTACTGACGGAAGGGAGATCGAAAAAAAGCGGTTTTCTGGATAAGTTCTGGAGTTTCGGGCTGGGTGCTGTGGACACACCTACACACAGCCACACGTACACCGAAAGGCACAACAATAAGTCAGGAATGCAGGTGGGTGAGGGGCTTAGAGGGGCAGACGAAAAGCACAGGGCGCTTTGGGCTTATCAAGTTGAGCGCATCAAATTCTCAAAAATAATATACCAAATCATAAAAGCATGACGATGAGCAATTTACCAAAGCCAAATACTCAGAGACGAAACAAATACGGGAAAAAATGGGACGCTGTATGAAGGGAAAAGATTCAAATCAAGAACGTGCCCCAAACGAAGAAGAAGTGCCGCAGTCAAGACGATTATGTACGTATAAATAGGAATATTTTCGGTTGCGTTGTAAAAACAACAAACTAAATGATTAATGATGAACCGCTTTTGTCTGCCAGCAAAGCATTTCATTTTCACTTTTCCTCAGAGGCTGCTGCCCTACAATTGGAAATTGAAAATGTTATTTTTCAACTTGAACTTCGATTGCTGGCATCTCTCCTCGCTTTCCACTGCTGGCAGTAATCACTTTGTCATTGCCATCATTTTTCAGCATCAATTGTTTAGCGGCTCGACATAAATTCACTTCAGAACCCAAAGAGAACCCGCTCTGCGTCTAATGGAAATTGAGAGATACAAGATACAAGAATCGAAGCCGAGCAGTCTGCGTCAATGGAAGGTCCAAGTGCCCCATCACAAATGTATCTGAAGTTCGGAAAACTCGATGGGTCTCGGCCTGATGGAGTGGACTTCCCTGGAATTGGCCTACAGCTTGGCCCGCTTTTAAGTCGCACCGAACAGGAGATCAAAGGGAAAATCATTGACCAACTACTCTTGAAAGTCGGGCTTAAGTCTAAGAATCACACTTGAATTCAACGAAATTGAAGTTAAGCTAAATGTTTTAATATTATTATATATAATACGAAGTTACTTAGTTTATACATATACAGAGCCATTAAGAAACTATGGCTCCCCTTAATTAAGAAATAAATGTGAAACAAACCGATTTCGAAGTGAAAATGTCAAACCTTTTAAAATTGCGTTAGTCATACTCGTATTGTTAAGTTAAAACTAGACCTCCCTGCTCTTTTTGAAAGAATCTTCGCGGACAATGGGCTGGATACTGGGACTATTGCTTTGTCTCTGTGCAGGACTTTTAACTAATCAGCAGAAACAAAGAACCGGTTTCATATCAGTCAACACGTCCACATCGGGCTTGACGGATGCAGAGGGAGCTGCTTTGGTGCCAGGACCGGGCTATTATCACGAAACCAGAATCGGCGAAAAGCCATTTGATGTTGGTAAAGGCAAAGGCAAGGGTAAAGGTAAAGGTAAGGGTTCGTCCTTGCGAGGTGCAGGAACTGCTATTGTTGTTATCAGCGAGAGCAAGCATACCAATAATGGCGACGTAAACATTGTTAACTCCAAAGTGCAAACTGTTACGAAAAAGCCCATATTGAAACCTAAAGTAAAATGGCAAAATCCATTTCAAGAAGTACAACAGTCGCAAACGCGGCCTCTAGTACAGGCATCACCTCCAGGAATACCACGGCCACAGCCACAGTCACAGCCACAGCTTACAGTATGGCAAGTACCTCAAGTACCTCAAGTAATAAAACAGGCACAACCACAGCCCCCAGTGCAGAGAGTTTCTCTACAAGTATCACAGCCAGAACCACTGATCCAGCTAAACCCACTGGTTCCGCCAAAACCTTTGGTTCAGCGAATACCTCAGATCCCGCCACAGCCAATAGTTCAGCAAAAACCGAGACTGGGATGGCCATTAAGTGAATATCCTTGGCTAAACTTAATGATGAGAGCAAAGAGACAATATGCTATTGAACCAAAAAGCGATCTGCTAAGTTAAGCAAAGAAATTTTATTTTAAATAAAAACATTCTTTAAAGAATAAGTCCAAGCCCAAGCAATAGGAATCTCAGCAAAGATTTCTTATCCAAAAGCTTTTACCAAACCCTGTTTTATCGTCTATTTAAACTGAACTGTAATAATCTGAAATTTCTTTTGCAATTCAAAGCTTTTCAAAACCCAACTCGTTTTGACCTGTCTTCTGAGTATTTTTTTTAGAAATCCCCGGCTGCTTATGACCATCGGAAGCGTAACTAACTTGAGAAAATTCAGAACTTCTAAGACTCACCTCGTTTTGATTTGTCGGTGTGCCAATTAGCCCGTTACGTTGCCAATTGGAATGTTCACTTGACTTTGCCTTGTGTTCAATGCGGTTTTTATGGTCGTTGTTGCAGATGCTGCAGAGGTTGCTGATGTTGCAGATGTTGTTGTTGTTACTGTAGTTGCTGTTGTCCTTTCACACGGCGACAACGCGGCGTAGACGTAATCCACAACTTGAGTACCGTTTAGTGGCTTTTCTTGTTGTTGCTTTAGTTGTTGTTTTATTGCAAGGATAACGGTAATTAACCCGTCGGGGTCGCCTGGCCGCAATTGCATGCCAGTCGTTGGGTTATTGGCCGCCACCGAGCCGCTCGCTTGACACTTTTCAAACTTTTTCTCTTAGTTGGGCAGCTTTTTTATTCCGCACACTGGGTAAAAAACACACACACACGGGCAGAGGCACATACAACAACATACACTGGGACACACTTCGCTATGCGCTAATTTTTTTTTTTTACCGCGGCTGCATTTGCTTGCCTTTTACACTTTTTGCCTGGGTCCGCGTTGTAAATCTTAGCGCGTTGTTTTTAAAGAAAATTCCAAAGTCGTCGACGACAACAGCAGCAGCAGCAGCGTTGTTGTTCTGTATGTGTATTTTTTACTTTTTTTTTAACTTTTTTAGTTGTTTTTTTTTTGCCGGGTCTGGCGCTCCGGCGGCAGCTCTTCCGCAGAAACAAGCTTCCAAGCAGGTTGACCAAGACCAACCAAGACCAAGTCCGAGCGATGCAGCAAGACAGGAGGACAGGAGTTCGAGGTGGAGGTGAAGGTGGTTGCTGCACAAGTTGCAGCTGAAGTTGCAGGGGCGCGGCTGCGGCTACAATCTGCAATCTGTTTGTGGCATTAAATCAGTGAACCAAGACGCTCCGCTCCAGCTCCACTCCGGCCAGATTTGTTTATGCCTCCTCACTGGTTATGCAAATTTGTACTACAGCTGTACGTACAGCTCAATTAACGCGGCATTCTTGGGGATTCTCGAACTGCCGATCGCACACATTGATCATCATCATCACCACCGCACAAAATCACTTTACGAGTGGCTACTAATATACCATATCATAACAGAACCCTGCGCTTGAAACTTAAAACTGAATGCCGAAACTATTGTTGCTTGGAGGAGAGTTGTGTTGCCTGTGTTTCGGCTATGTTGCCAATGTTGCGAGTTGCTGGTGCTTGTTATTTTTGTGGGGGAATCGTCGTCCGCGGCCCGCTGACTTTTCGGCTGGCAACGTATCGAACCGGTCTCAAGTACATACTGAACGGCACGCACTGGGAACAGGTCCGTCGAGGCCCGAGAAACGGTAGTGGAACGCCGTGGAATCGGTCCACTCAATGCCCCCGCCATCGCCAGTTCACTCGGCCCGCTTGAGTGAAACTCGGTGGAAATCTCACTCGAGCGGAGTCTTTTCGGGAGCAAGTTGGTCAGGTGTTTAAGCCGCTGCCGTTGCCGCTGCCGCTGCCGCAGTTGCGTCCGCATCTAATTGTGAATGATTTATGTGGGTCGTCGTCCCCCACCGGGCGGCAGCAACCAGCAGCTAGGAGCCCAACACCACCACCGACCGAAAGCACTCTTTTGGCCCAAAGAAAGTGCCATAAGCCGATGCCGCTGGAATGGTGCAGGCTTTACTTTTACCGCCGATGCAGTTCGCACAATTGAAATGAATATTCAGATGGCCAGGAGAGCGGGATCGGATAAATTTGGGCCTGCGAAAGTGGGAAGGAGTGTGCCTGCTATCCGGAGAGAAAATTTATTTTACTAAGCACACTAATCTGCCAAAAATCTGTTTATGAAAACAATATGCAAAGTATGAAATTATATGCATGACATATAATATAAATATTAAAAAGAACGAAATTAAAATTTTTGTTTTGTTTTTAACTGCTTAAAATTTAAAATTATATATTACAATACATTGTTCAAGAAATGGTGTTACTAAAATATAATATTAAAGTGTCTATTTTAACCCGCTAAGATGCAATCAAAATTTATTTGCTGTCCATTATTAAAATATTTAATATTTACCAAAGTTGAAATAACTAAAACTCACAATGTAAAATAAATAATGCTTTTTATAGAAACATTTCTTTTAAATTACAACAAACAGTATTCTTTTTCCAAGGTATTGCACATTTTTATAAGGTTTCAATCTTAAAATAAAATAAGAACATAAAATGTGTGCCTGTAATGTGTGACTAGAACATCGAAATTGCACTTTATAAGTACAAAATCCGCCATTTATTTTCTCTGTGATTTGAGCATAAAACAGTTGCCATTCAGTCGCTATAATCCTGGCCAGGTCGTTGGCTTTAAATTATCAACGGGACAAAGGACACTGGCTGTGCGCCTCCCAGCTGGACAACTCCCAGATGGCGGTGGCCACTGGCCACTGGTCACTGGCCATAACTAAAGTCGCCAGCACATTAACGGGTCGTGCTGATGGTGACTCAGGCGTCGGGGTCAGACAGGTCTGCTCTGATCCCGTTGGGGGAGGAAAAGCACCTGCTTTATTATGCAAAAGTTTGCCGGCTCCGTCAGGTGAGTGTCCGTGGAAAGTTGTGGGGCAAGTGCGCCGAAGGGCGGTGCGTGTGCAGCCAAAGTTGAAGGTGGGTCGAGGTTCGAGCTGTACTTAAAACTTAACCGGCAAAAACGTGCTTCAAAGGCAGGAAAAAATGGCAGATAAAGGCTGAAAAAAGCACTTAGTTCCTGCTTTTATCAGTAATTAAACTCAATATCATTAGGTTTTCTTATCAAGCGAAATTATGGCAGGCTAAAACTGAAAGCTAATTTTTAAATGGGAATGATGCAGTCAGTAAAATAAAGGTGGAATATATTTAACTTATGGCCAAAAGCTCAAAGGGTATATGGAATTCTTTCCACTCCAAGTCATTTAATCATTTAAATAAACTTTTTAACATAAAATAAGATAATAGATCCTACAGCAAGACATAATAAGTTAAGTCATCGCTAGGCAGTCATTAAAAAATCATGGAAAAAGATTAAAAATATTTTTAATTTAAACTTTAGTAGCCTGAAAACCTAGAAAAGCATTTAAAGACAAATTTAATTAGGCCTTGAGCAATTCCCCGAGAAGTAAATGCTTAGAAAATATGCATTAAAAGTCAAACCTAATATAGTTAGCCCTCGTCAGCCATTCACTCCAGCTAATGTCTTGCGACTGCTCAACTAATTCAAGATGGACAGGGCCGACACTCAGCTGGGCCATCGCGCTAGACAAGTTCGATGCCTTGGATGGGCATCCGAGTGGGCCAGGCCCACCTCCAACTCCAACTTCTCCTCCTCCGCCAAGACGACTAGGACTGCTCTGACAGCCAGAAGACGTCGTCGCCGATGCCGGGATTCTGCTATTCTGCGATGCATTGCCCGCCAGAGAGCCTTTCGAATGATTTATGAGAAATGCGGCGAGTCTCCGAAGACGGAGCGCCAAGCCAAGACAAACAATTGACATTTGATGGATGCGTAACTCGTGCATTCAAATGCAACTAGCCAGGCTGGCAGAGGGCCAACGTATATTTGACAGACCGGCGGAGAGGAGTCGGCTAATTGTTATTGATAATCGCCATGCCCTTGCCCTTGCCTTTGCCCTCGCCTGGCCTGTTATGTCTTTGTTTTGTTGCCGCGCAACCGTCGATTAATTAGTCAATTAATGAACATGATTTTGTGGAGCATAGCCAACGCGGGGACAGCCACGTCCAATTGCAATTGCGGTCTTCTCCTGGGCCGCTCCGCTAATCAGATCCCTCGGCCAGCTTCCACACGAAGACCTTTTGCTCCTGGGTGAATTATGCCCGGGCAAACTCATTGTCTGCTGGCTGAAAATCACGGCTCCATCCTGCGCCTGCCTAACTGCAAACAAACTTCTCTATTATTGATTTATACCTTTCAACGATTCTCTGTATTTATCATGAGTGCAAGCCACATTTATCATTAATAATGCCGCGCCAGCCTCGCGAGCAGCAGCAGCAGCAGCGGAATCGGAATCTGCGGCAGCCTCAGCGGTTCCAGACGCAAAGTGGTAGCCCAAACGAGCGGCAGGATCGGGATCGGGATCGGGATCGGTGGCAGCAGGAAGGAGAATGGAGGCAGGAGGAGATGCCCCAAGCATCCGCACCTAGGCAGCTGCCAGACCCTGGGCAGAAACAGTGGGTGTGGTGGCTGAAAATGGGCCAAAAGTAGGAATTCTTGTTTATTTCAATTTAGTTATAATTATTTTTTAAAAGACACAGAGTTTAAGAGTATACAACTGGAAACTTAAAAAAAAAATAATCTTTTGGTGATCATAATATCTCAAGAAATTAAAACATTATTATTGAAAATCCAAAATCCTTTTTTAAAGCCATTGAGTACTAATTTCTCATCATGCCATTAAAGAAATTCGTTAATTAGCTTATAAATACTTGATGTTTATTTTTCAAGTTATCCTTGGAAAACATTTGACTTTTAAGCATACATTTCATCATAATTTAATAAAAACAAGTTAGTTTGTTGTTTATTATTTATTTGTTATATATATTTTTATTACCACTGTAAACATGTGTTATAAACTTATTTTGTTGATTTTTAGGAGAAAATAAAAGAGGTATATAAATATATTCAATACATTCAAATAAACACTAATAACATTTCTGCAACTGAATACTTGACATTCCCAATGGCCGTGCCATTTTATTCGTAACTAATTGCCCATTGAGGCTTCGATTTGTATAAAGGGCCGATCCATTATGCACTGCGATGTGACCACTGTGCCAATTTTCCTAGGCTCAGGCAGAGACCCTGGCACTCAGCCAGTCAGCCAGTCAACCAGGCACCCCCGTTGAGCTGCTGGCTGGAGGAGCCGTGTGTTGTGGCTGTCTGGGATGGCCATGCTCGATTTGGAGCTGTTGCTGAATCTGCCGAAGCTGAAGCTGAAGCTGCTGCGGCTGCGATCGTTTTCCGTACATCATTTCTATGCTGTATTTATTGCCCCGGTCGCAGTGATCATCGCGTTCGCTGGGCCTCCATTTCCGTTTTCTGCGGCTGCTCAAAAGTTCAGGCCATCGAGTGAAGAAGTACGAATTCGAACTGCTAGCTGCTAGCTGCAAACTGCAAACTGTGGACGAAACGAAACGAACGACGGACAACGAACGACGGCGGCGAAATCCATTTTGGGAAGGTGATCTGTGGGATTGTGCTAATGTCAAATCAAGCTGTGCCCCCTTGTTATTTAGCGAGGGCCCAAAAGGAAGAAGCTGCCGTCCGAGCGCGAACCGCCAGCAACTAAACTCCATGTTGATTTTATTGTAAATTGCATTAAAAGATTGCATATAAAGAATTTTATTTATCACCTCGGGTTGTTAGGGAAAACGCTGTTGGAGACAAAAGTTCTCCCTGCCCGCAAGAGCTGCATTGTTGCAGTCGTCGCTGGTTTTGCCTTTTTGCCGCTTGTTTGCTCGTTGTTTGTCTTGCATTATTTTTAGAGGCATAGCCAAAGCCAAAGCCAAAGCTCGGGGTGCTCAAGGTCTTTCGATCCCAGCAGCCCCCATTCGAGGCGAAGGTGTCGCGCCTGTTTAGAGTGGATTCGATTTTTTGTTTAGCACTCTGCGGCGGATGCTCCTCTGGCTCCTCTTCTGGCTCATGTCCACTGATCTTTGCCAAATTTGTAAATGTTCTTTTAATGGAATTTGAACACTTGCTCGGGGCCTTCGACTTTGCAAGGGATTTGCTTTCTGTGTTCTCGGTGCGCGACATTTGGCAGGCAAAGTGGAGCTGAGATTTACAAGGCTTCTGCCCTGCACAGAGAAAAATAGATCATCTGATAAATTTCATAATAATGGTTTAATTAAATTAACATTTTTAAGGTATAACTAGAAGTAATACTTTTCATAGAAGTTGATTTTCTAAAAATTTTCCTCCCTAATAGTTCTTATAGTAAAAGTCTTATACAAGGATTTAAATCTCTATTTTCTCTGCCTGGTTTCGATACATTCCTAGACTTGTCAATAAGCCAGGAAAAGTCACCTGAGTTCCAGTTCCAAGGTTAGGTTAAAGACTCCTCGACATGTTCAACAAGTATTTGTCTCTGGGAACCAGCAGCTAATGGGTTTGGGTTTCAGACAAGTGCTTGAGATCATCGCTTCGATGGAAATCTCTTGCAATCCCCAATCTCGTCCAATCGGAATAATCAGAACCCACACCAGAACCGGAATATTGTTTGATGAATGCGGCAGCTTAGTCATATTCAAAGAACCTCGCTCGGAAGTGGCCTTAAGTAGTTGGGTCAGGCCGATCTCTGGCCGAAAATGCCTTTTGAGAAAGCGAATTTCGCAGACAAATAAATCAAGCCACCTATTTTCGAAAAAGAGTGTCCATTGTGTCCCGGGGTCGCCGGTCTTTGGTATCTGGTCGCTGGTTTTCGGTTTTGGTCTGGGGTGCCGA